AATTGATGACTTTGAATTGTGGTGCTGAAGAAGAATCTTGAACATAACATGGAATTCCAAGAGAACAAACAGGTCTGCCCTGGATAAGGTGAAACCAAGTTTCAAGTCTTTGGCATGTTTCCAGGAGGGACCTGTCCTTGGAAAAGAACATCACGCTTGGAAGGGTGGAGAGACAGCGCAGGAGAGGAAGACCCTGGATGAGGTGGATTGGTACAGTAACTAGGGCAGTGGGGGTAGGTGTGTTGGAGTTAGTGAGACTGGCTCAAGATGAGGTAGGCTTCAGAGCTACTGTGGATAGGATCTTTATGAGTCCAAGTGTCTCAACAGCACATAACAACAACAACAACAACATACTTTATGAAAGTATAAAAAAAAAGGAAGTATAATAACATTCAAATTTAAATTCTATGCCATTGAGTCGAAATTGACTTCTAGTGGCTTTTTAAAGACTGTAAATTGCATAGGAGGAGATTGTCCATCTTTCTTCCATGATGCACCAGGTAGATTCATCTCACATAGATCACCATGAGTCAAGTTAAAATCCATGACAATATTTTTTTAAAAATTGTGATTTGAGTGAAAGATTACAAAGCTAACTGGTTTTCTATTCAACCATTCATGCACATTTCGCTTTATGACATTCAGTACATAGAATGCAAACACCCTCTTCCCGCTTCATTCCTGTGATTCTCATTTCTAGTAATCTTTTCTACCTTTTGAATTCTATCCCTGGGAAAAGCTGGTCTTTTGATCTTCTATGCTGACTGTTCTAAGTAGTGAGTGCCTCCCTTATTCATTGTCTTTATGGATTGATTACATTTTAACATCAAGAAATGAAAAATCCTTACCCCTGAACCAGTAAGCAACAGCATTGATTGAAGTCGTCAATTATTTTATTTTACTTGAATCCATAATCAGCACTCATGGTAACAATAAGCAAGAAATCAAAGGAAATGTTACAATGAGAAAATCGGCTGTCAACAACCTCTCCATAGTGCTCGAGAACACTGATGTCAGTTTAAAGAGTAAGGTGGTTCTGATCGAGGTCATGGTATTTTCATTTGCTTCTTATGCATCTGAAAGTTGGATAATGAATAAGGAGGGCAGAACAGTCAATGCCTTTTAGATGTGGTGTTGGAGAAGAGTACTGGATGCCCTGGGACTGCCAAAAGAATAAAGAAATATGTCTTGGAGAAGGTGCATCCTGGGTGCTTCTTAGAGACAAAGATAGTGAACCTTCATCTCATATACTTTGGATATGTTATCAGGAGTCCTTGGAGAAAGAGTTGGTGTTGGGAAGATTGGAAGGTCAGAGAAAGAGAGGAAGAATCTCGGCAAGATGGGTTGGCACAGTGATTTAACAATGGGCTGGAGCATATCCGATATGGTGAGGATGGTACATGATAGAACGGAGTTCAGGTCACTGTGACTCATAATTGACTTGATGGCACCTGACAACAACAGTAGCAATTGTTTGGCTGTACATTGTTGCATGGGATGAGTTTGGCTCCAGGTTCAAAAGGTAAGGTCACAGTCTTGGTGTTTCAGCTTGTCTCTATCAGACCTGTAAACCTGGCCATTTTTATGGTTTTTGGTTTTGTTGATATATTTGGCCCACTCTATCCTGGACTTCCTCCCACGGTCCCTTTTAGAGCAGTCAGCAGTGGTCGCTGGACGCCGTCTTGTTCCTCTGAACTCAGGATGGTGAAGGTTGAGCTTTGCTGGCCTATTCGCTCTTTAGACAAATTGTTTGTTGTGCTTGTTTTCCTTCCTTCTCTTAGTTCCATGCAGGGAGGGACCAGTTGTGTCTTAGAGGGCTGCTTGCAAGCTTTTATGGCCCTAGTTGCTGCTCACTAAAGTAGGATGTAGAAACAGTCTGTGGAGTATGCATGTTATGTCGACTGGTTTTACAATGACAATGTAAAAAGGTTTGTTAACTAGATAGCTTTTTCATTTAAGTCCTCTCTTTAAGTCAGACTGAACGTGTATTGATTGGTAAAATGCACTAGTAATTCTGTTCAAGAATCATTCAGGCTACCTATGATAATAATTTTATGGTAGGAGTCCTAATAAGCCACTTTATAGATTTTTAACCTAGGCATTCTATCACTGTTGCTATGGAAACCAGCATTAAGAATTGTGAACTGAGAGAGAAAAAAGAAATTGGTGGTAAACATCAATAAAATACATGAGGAGTATATTGTTCTCTCTCTCTCTCTCTCTCTCTCTCTCTCTCTCTCTATATATATATATATATATATATATATACACACACACACACACACACACACACACAATCATGTTACTTGGGAATAAGGTAGGATAAAAAATGTTCTAAACTGATGTATAGTCAGTACAGCATTTTCTTCTAGTTGTCCCCTAGACCATGCAGATTCCTGGTTGAAGTAGGAGCTGCTGACCTTCTCTGTCAGCTTATAGGTCTGCTCTGGGCAGAGGAAGGAGAGGGGTGAGGAGGAAGGCTCAGCTGCTCAGGCTCCTGGGTGCCATCTGCTGTTTTCCTAATGCTGGCTGATGAGAGCACAGGGACGCAGTGAGGGGTGGAGGCCCAGAGGGAGCTAGTGGGGACACCTGGCACTAGCTCTGGTTCTTGAGGGCAGTGAGTGTCTTGTGAGTGTCCACTGATGTCCCTTGCCACTCAGCGGTGCTTATGTGAGTGCATTTTTGTTTCTTTGTAAGACTGAAACCTGTGGCTTAAGGAGGTCTGGTGGCTCTTGAAACATGCAGTGTGTTATGTATTTTGCTGCTAACCAACAGGTGAGCAGAATCCACCGAGAACAGTCGGAGGTAGATGAGCTCTTCCCGTAAAGATTTGCATTTATGGAAATGCACTGGGGTGCTCTGTGAGTCAGAATCAACCTGGCACAGTGGCTTTGTTAGTCACATACTTGACGATTCCCCTGATTAAAATCGTGGCCCATGGGAAATGGTCCAAGTTGGAGGGCTCATTCTATTGTTACAGCACCTGGCGCCCCATGTACAGCAAAGAGAAGGCCTGGCCCTGCATGGCTTCCACGCCTGGTTCCATGGCTGTGGGCTCATGGTGTTTTGGATTCCTTCTGACCGATAGGGCTCCTTTCCCAAGACTGTTTCTCACAGGGATTTTACTGGCTCATTTTCCAAAGTAAATAACGGGCTTTTCTTCTTAGCCTGGTAGCTCCATGTCCACTGTGGGTGACCTTGCCGGTATCTCATGTGCTTATACAGCTTTATGCATTGTTAGAATATGTAAACTGCTGCAGTGTGACCAGCCAACAGTGCAGTGGGGGCAAGGAGATCTCACTGATGGGAGGGATTGAGCCTTAGAGGGGCTCAGGGAACTTGGGGGCCAACACCTACCTCAGGGACGACATGCTGATGGCAGAGGCTCAGGCTGGGCAGCCTTCATGTGTTGTGTCAGATGTTCCCTCTGAGGCTTACAGCTGCAGCACCTTCTTTGAACATTTCACCCCCTATGATACTGGTTTCATTTGGTCAATAACCTTGCCCTGAGATCTCAGGTCTAGTCAAATAAAATATATAAATTTTTAAAGGCTGCTCATTTTTTTTTTGTTCAAGAGGAGGGGAGAAGATGATTTTTGTGGTTCTATGAAATTTCGTCATGTGTATTTAACCCTTTAATGACACACATGCCTTGCAGTGCCCACTGCAATTTTTGCTTCTGAGGTGTAGTGGGACTCTCTTAGCCCACTTTTTATGCACACTGCCATCTGGTGGACGGCCTGTATATCACCGTGAATCTGAGGAAATAGGTCTCAGGGCCAACCCAGTACCTGCGACAGACACTTTGGGATAAGTGTGTCCCACTAATTGTATAAAAATTGCTATCACTTCTTGGTTCAAATCCACCAGAAGCTTTGCTGGAGAAGGAGGAACAATCTCCTCCTGTACCAGTCAGATCCGATTTGACGGTATGCACACACACAAATAATAAAATAAATAAAAAATTCCTATCACTTCAAAACTTTTTTTCTTATTTCATTCAGAATACTTCTATTACTGAAAACACATAATTTCAATTAAAAATATTCTATGCAGAAAATAATTCCATCTTGAAAGAGTAAAGCAGCAGAGCTGTAAGGGTCATGAACAAATTATACTTCTACTTAAGCTGATCTGTCCATATGGACTAGTTTAATGCAGGGGACAGTGCTGGCCCCCATTCACCCTTTGTTTGCCATCAGTTATGACTCATGGTGACTCTACTTTGAATTTTAAAACCTATAAATGCAAATGGGAGGAGACTGCTGCACCCTATGGGAAGCTGGTGGGTTCAAACTGCTGACATTGGCTTTCAGCCCAACACAGCCTGCTGTGCTACTGGGTGTTCGCTCAGGAGTAGTTTTATCTTACCCACAAGTCAGGTGGGCTTACTATTGCTAGAATGCTGGGTGGGTTTCAGTGGGGCTACCAGACTAAAAGAGACTAGGAAGAAAGGGCTGGCTTTATGCTGCCAAGAATCAGCCAGTTAAAAACCCAAGGAATAATCTACAACTAATGATGGGTGGTGCTGTTCATGGAGTCTCCTTACCTTGGGTGTTGTTTTGACGGCTGCAAACAAGTGCAAGCCTGTGTTGGGTCCTCTGACCAAGAAGGAACAATTATTTAGCTGATCAGTCATGTAATAATAACAATAATATTGTACATATGTGTTAATAACTTGTGAAAAAATGGTGAACTTATAAAAAAATGCCCTTGTAAAAATGTATCATTTCAGGAGTAAAATGTTCTATTTCTGGTTAAATTATAAGACCTGGTTCTCCTGTGGAGAAAGATGGGCAGGCTTGTCATGCCATCTCCTGCCTCTGAAACCTACTAGACAGTGAGCTCTGGGTTGGTTCTGACTGATGGTAGACAGCAACAGTTCTCTATAACAGCAATGCTGACTGTGGTGTAGGGTGATGCTCAGCAGGTTCACGTTTTAGAAACATAGTCTTTCTTTTCTGATTCTTCCGCAGAAAGGCAGATTTATTGAGGCAAACATGCGGAGTGCCACCAAGCCCTGGAGCCCAGCCATCAGAGCTGGGGGCCACGGAACCGACCGCACGCGACCCCTCCTTGCTTCTGCTTCCGGCATGAAGAGTTCCAAGTCTTCAACCTCCTTGGCTTTTGAGTCCCGACTCAGCAAGGTATGGGCTATTCACACAGGTCAGGGCTCTTGGTTGAGGAGATTGAAGAAGGCAATAAGTAAGCCTAGTAGTCTTTAAGGAAGGGTAGGAGGACACCCAATAGCACTTCAAGCCAGCACATCTTGAATGACTAAAAAGAAAAAAAGGAGGAAAGGATTGTAGTAGAAGTACTTTGGGGTAGAGAAAGAATCTACACACTGTTCAACAAATTCAAGTTCTCTGCTCTGGTTTAGAATTCCCTGCAAGGTGCTGTTCAAAAAGTTTGGAGGTTTCAGCTAACCCAGAGACACCTCAGAAAATGGACCTGATGACCTACTTCCCCAAAACTCAGCCATTGAAAACCTTAAGGAGAAAAGTGTACTATCCCTCAGTCAGTTAATAGGCAGACAAGATGTGGTGTGTACTTAGAGCAGAGAACCAATCAAAGACAAAGGCCTGACATGCCAGAGCATGGATGAACCCCAAAAACATGCTGAGCAAAATAAAGACAATTATTTTATTATCTTAACTTATTTGAAATAACAACAGGCAATTGTGTGGAGACCACAGTGGTTACCAGAGATCAAGAAAGGGGTCCACTCTTAGAGGGAGCTCAAGAGTCAGCTTCTACTGATGGGAAATTTGACGTGGTTATGGATGATGCTTGCACAGCATGATTAATGTAACTAGTGGCACTACACTGTATCCTTGAAAAGTGTTGAATTGGCAAATGTTGTGTTATACACAGTTAAAGAACGTGAAAGAAAGGTGCCCATAGCATCCAGCTGTACTCCGAGACCAGTGGGATGTCTGATTAACTCAGTAGTAACTGGATTATGGGGATTCTCTAGTCAAAGCTTTAGCCCAGAAGTCCACAGAGTCGGGGTCAGGGTCACCATGATCCCCACATCTCTGAGCATCTAGCCATTACCGCTTTGTCCCTGTCTTTCTTGAGTGTTTACCAGTGTGACACTGTCCATCCTTCCTCCATCCTCAGCATCCCTCCTCCACCCCCAGCAGCCTCTTCCCAGTGTCTGCTCATGGGTCCTCTCATCTAAGATTTCCGCATTGGGTAGTCCCTAGCCACACTCATTCTGTAGCTCAGTAGTTTACATCTGGTACCTCCATTACTATCCAAAGGAGAAATTCATGGGTCAAATAAGTTACTTATTGGTAATTCAGGCAGTCAGAGTTAATTCAGTGGTAGAATTCTCACCTTCAAATGGAGACCGAGTTTCATTCTTGGGTTATGTGCCTCAGGTTACCAGCATTTCTCTTTGGAGACTTGTGTGTTGTGATGTTGAACAGATGAATAGGACAGTTTTCAGCACAGCTTTTAGACTGAGACAGATTAGGAAATAAAGCCTGGTGATCTACATCCAAAAATCAGCCAGTGAAAAAGTTATCTCACGAACCCATGAAGATGCCACACACTCCAGGACTTGCACCCTGCCTTCAACCAGGGCGTGACTTGACAGCAGCTAGAACTACACAACTTTGGTTGCTGAAACTGAGGAGGATCTGAAACTCTTGAAGGTCTATGACTGGAGTCTTCAATATGGATTGAAGCTCAACATCAAGAAAATAAAGATTCTCACCACTGGGCCAATTGGCAGCGCCATAATAGATGGAGAAGAGATTGAGGTTAACAATTCTTCTTTTGATTTCCTCACTGCTGGTGTTAAGAATGTTTATTGTGGAGCTGAGCAAGCTGTAAATGTTAAACTAGGACAATGGGGGTAGGTGTGTTGGAGTCAGTGAAAAAAAGTCATTAAAATGGTGTGCTCCAGGGGGGGGCATTGTGTATCAGTGAAGGAATTTTCCTTTTACTTTTCCAAGAGAAGAGCAAAGTGGGGGGAGGCAGGCAGGGAGAAAAATGCAACAATGAATGATTGGAAATCCAAAATCTCTGTAAATGTTCATTAAAATTCATTTTTTAAAAAAAAGGTGCGCTCCAGGCCGGCTAACATTTTCAAAACTGTGGCATCCACTTCCTAAATAACATGCCTTCGGAAACTCTATGAACATTGATAAATGTCGATAGTTGTAGAAGGGCTTCAGGCCTTTTGTTCATAGGGTCGCTATGAGTCGTACTCGGCCTGAAGGCAATCAACAACAATATACGCCCTAGTGATGACAGAAAAGGAAAATGGTTTCTAATGGAGTAGAATGCCTATTTCTGTCTCTAAATGTCTGAGTCTAGCTGTGCTGACAGGCCCACGAGACCCCTTGGAGCACCCCAGTGTGATAGCCACATGTAGATGACGCCAATTTGGTCGAGGACTCAGGTCCATGATGATGACACGGCCACTGAGTGGCACTGTTGTTTAGAGGTGTTGCGCACTCTTGGTAAAGTTCTGACACAAAAAATAGTACAGGCTCCCCTTGTTTTTTTATGATATTTGTTTGTGTTTGGGTTCAACCCCAGGAGGGAAAGCCCTTCAGTGTAAGTGTTTGAAAAAAACCAACTGACCAGGCAGGAGTCAAGTGCAAGTGGTTTATTGCCTTAGAGGCAATTTGCTTATGAGAAAAAGAGCAGTGTTGTATTCAGAGGAGGCAGGCTGGATTCTTTCTGGGGTCCCCCATGGCGCCCAGCAGGGAAGGTGGTCTCAAAGTGCTCATAGCAGCTGTGGGGTCATCAAACCACCAGATGAAGGCCCGAGGGATGTGAAGCTGTCCTTTCAGTAAGGCCCAGCGCTGCTGACCTCATATGGTGGGAAGACCACACTGCAAGGTGGTTAAGAGGACACAGAGTGAGCTTCTCATCCAGTTCGGCTCTAACTTAGTCTGGCTCAGAATTAACCAGTTTGTTTTTTTAATTTAAAGCATTTGCAGCATTCCGTACATATTCTTAGCCTGTTCGTGTAGGAAGCATTATGTTATATGCAAAACTTAAGGGAGTGTCTCTGCTTGTGTACGATGTTCCACTTATATCTGTAAATTTTGGAAAGATGGTGCAGGATGTGGCACAGTGTGTAAACCTACTCCTCCTCCTCCTCCTCCTCCTCCTACTACTACTATTACTTCTTCTTCTTCTTCTTTTTCTTCTTCCTCCTCCTCTTCCTCTTCCTCTTCTTCCTCCTCTTCTTCTTATTGTGGCCTAGTGGCAAGATGCAAGCAAGATTCTCCTGAAAATTATCCAAAAACGTTTGGAGCAATATGTCAACAAAGAACTGCCAGTTGTGCAGGCTGGATTTAGAAGAGGTTGTGATACTAGGGATATTATAGCTAAGGTAAGACAGATCTTGGCAGAAAGCAGAGAATACCAGAAGAATGTCTATCTGTGTTTTATTGACTATGCAAAGGCTTTTGACTGTGTGGATCTCAACAAGCTGTGGCTGACTCAGAGAAGAATGGGAATCCCAGAACATTTGATTGTGCTAATGCAAAACCTATACTTGGACCAAGAGGCAGTCATCAGAACAGAGCAAGGAGACACTACATGGTTCAAAATCAAGAAGGGGGTCCATCAGGGATGTATTTTGTCTTCATACCTTTTCAATCTATATACAGAATAGATCATCTGAGACGCCGGGCTGTACGAGAAGGAATGTGGCATTAGGATTGGTGGAAGAGTCATTAACAACTTGCGTTATGTGGATGACACAACCCTGCTTGCTGAAACTGAGGAGGACCTCAGGGCGCTTGCTGCAGAAGGTCAAGGACTGCAGCCTTCGATATGGATTGAAGCTCAACATCAAGAAAACAAAGATTCTCACCACTGGGCCAATTGGCAGCATCAGTGTGGATGGTGAAGAGATTGAGATAGTTAATAGTTTTAGTTTACTTGGTTCCACAGTCAACACTATTGGTACCAGCAACCAGGAAATCAAGAGACAAATTGCATTGGGAAAGTCAGCTGTGAAGAACCTCTCAAGAGTACTGAAGAGCAATGACATCAGGCTGGAGACTAAGGTGTGCATGATCCAGGCTGTAGTCTTCACAATTACATGGTATACATTGGAGAGTTGGATGGTGAATAGGGATGATAGAAAGAGAATTGATGCCTTTGAGCTGTGGTGCTGGAGAAGGGTGTTAAATATATCATGGACTGCTAGGAGAAGAAACAGGTTTGTCCTGGAGAGGGTGAAGCCATAATGCTCCTTGGAGTCAAGTATTCTGAAGCTTCGTCTGACATACTTTGGGCATGTTGCAAGGAGGGAATAGTCCTTGGAGAGGGACATCATGTTTGGAAAAGTGAGGAGGCGGAGCAGGAGAGGAAGACCCTCAGTGAGGTGGATCGATTCTGTGACTGGAGTGGTGGGAATGAGTGTGTCTGAGATGGCGAGGTTGGCACAGGATAGAACAGATTTAGAGCTCTTGTACATAGGGTCGCTATGAGTTGCAAGTGATTCAATGGCACATAACAGTGGCAAGAAGTTGCTCTGCAATCCTGAAGACATGTGGTTCGAGGCCACTAACTGCTCTGTAGGAGAAGGATGTGCAGTCTCCTCCCATTCAATTAATTGCCTCTGAAAGTCTGCTGAAGGGTCAGCTACGGGTTGGTTCCAACTCTAAGGTACTCATCATCATGATCATCATATATTAGGGAGCTATATTAGAAGCTGCACTGCAATCCCGAAAGTTGGAGGCCACCACCTGCTCTGCGGAATAAAGATGGGCAATCTCTTCCCATGTGATTAACGCCTCTTAAAATCTACCAGAGGGTCGGTTTCAGCTCTATGGTACACTACAACAGCATTATATTATCACATGAGGTGATGGGAGAATCCATGAACAGACACTGGAAAGGGGCAGGACGTTTCGATTTCACTTTCTCCCACCTACAAAAAATGCCCTCCTAGATTTCCAGCATGCTGCCTAAGGAAGGACAGCACTGTCCTATTGAGAACTGCTGTTCTAGGTAGTGCTACTTGCTCTCATGTCTTTTGATGTTGTATGTGGATGACCTCCCAGTTGGCCTCTCTAGCCAAGATGTAACTGGATTCCTGAATTTTAACTGTCTATGTACATTTCCCCTTGTTTTTGTTGTTAGGTACTATCAAGTTGAAGACAACTCA